ATATATATACACACACACACATATAAACAGAGTTCATATGTGGCAGCACTTGAACAAGAAGTTTTGGTAGGTTTTCTCTTAAAATCTACCAGAACGTTTTTCCTGGGTACAACTGATTTCTCTAAGTAAGAGTTTACAATCCAGACCTTTATTTTTTTTTCTACAGCTAGTGATATAACATCAAAAAAAGTAGTTACTGAAAATTCCATTATACCAACTGTGACATACACTGTGGCTAAATCAAAGAAGGAATCTGGTCAATAGTGGCAAATTGTGGCATTATCCAGTGTATGCTATAGAAGGAGTACTTCCCTGTCATAAATACAGTCTTAAAGACAAGGAAGTAAAGGAAGGGCCAAGCTAAGTCTGTATGACTATAAAAGCACACACCCACAGAGGGCTCTGTGCAGGACACTTGTGCTCTGTAGTTGTTACTCAGTAATTTTTAGGGTGTCATTGTACTCTGTTTACCTGTTCAGTCCAGCTACCCTATGCTTCTTTCTGGCCTCCCAAGTTGCTTATCATCCCACCCTGTAGTTAATTATCACAAGATAAGGCTTCTTACACAGGCATAAAATAATGCTTACAGGAAAACAGTTTGTAATTTATGTTTGTTAATAAAGGAATGGCCCTCAGTCTCATTTTTTAATCCTTAATGTAGGACACAACTCTGCTAATGACAAACTGATCTACATGACCAAATTTGTCTTATTTTTCTTTTTCATGTAACCTGTTTTCTTTTTTGCAATGCTTATGAAATTAAGTCTGATAGCATTGTTAAATAGGTAGGCACCTGGCAACACGATCCTGTTTTAGGCTATTAATTTGATTTTCTGCAGTACAGCAATCCTGCTATTGTTATTTGAACAGTTGTGAGATTCATCATCTGGTCTTCCTTCTTTTTGACATTTCCACATATTTAGTTGTTTCGAGATATTATGAGAGGAAGTTACTCAAAAGAATAACTGCATATTTTATCTATATTTTAGAAATCCTTTGTGGTTTAAATCTTGAGCAATTCCTCTGCATGTCTTGCTTAGGGCTACTGGTACATGCTGTTAGAAGAACTCTGCCAGTATTACCGTATGTTTGTCCCCATACCAGTTTGGTTCCGTTTTCTTATTGGCTATGGGAAGCTGGACAGTGTGCTAGGACGCAGCCTTGGGATACTGCTGGGCCTTCTCTACCTCATCCTCAAAGTATGTAAGCTTTATGTTCCTCTCCAGTAGCTTTGCAGTAATTACCAGTGGAGGGTTAGAGACCTAAACTTCATGCGTTTCTGGAAGTTCTGCTCTTTGAACTGACTTGCAGATCAATGCTTCAGTTTAACTGATAGAGCCTTCCAAAGCTGACAGGAAAAGTGGCTCAGGACACTGAATCTTCTGTTCCTGCAGCTGTTCTGGGAGTGGATTGGGGTTGCATAGCAAAGAACACTGTCCCCTCACATCAGACACTGATCAGACTATTACCAGATAGTGAGGAAAAGAGCTTGCAAAAGTAAAGGTAAAATCCATGACTAAAAGTATCAGCATTTTCCAGGAAAAGAGGTTTTTCTCTCTACCACAGTATCCCGTGTGATGCTGAACAAATTAAACAGCAGCGTTCATATCAAAGAGCTCATCTGCCCCAAATGTAACCACTCAGTGCAAGTTTGGCTTTGAACATGAAAAATACTTTCAATTTTGTTTCAAGATATTATGAGATTATATAATTGCAAGTCTAAAGACTATTGTGTATATGATAGTAATGATGATATATTTGCACTTGAGTGCTTCACTTCAGAACCTCAACAAAGCTTTGCTTCTAAAGGACACCTACTAGGGAAAAAAACCTTCTGGCTAAATTCTTAGTTTGATTACATATTAAGCAACTGAAATAGGGTCAGTCTGAACTGTAACTTTGCTTATGCTCCTACCTCAACAGAGCTTTGCTTCTAAAGAACAGACACCTACTAGGGAAAAAAAACCTTCTGGCTAAATTCATAGTTTGATTACATATTAAGCAACTGAAATAGGGTCAGTCTGAACTGTAACTTTGCTTATGCTCCTGCCAACATCAAACGAGCAGTGAGACTTCCAGTGTTGGAATCTGCACAAAAGTTTGGAAGCTTTGTACGTCACAGGGAAAAGTATGAAGCATAACTCAGGTTTTCTTTCCCATTTCAGCTTTTGAGCTTTTATGGACAACTGAGAAACTTCAGGCGGGTCTTACGGATATTTTGTACACGACCAGTGAGTACTGAATTGTCTTACAACAAAACCATGAATCCAATTTATGGGAAAATAATTCTTTTTTCATGTACTTCAATCCTATATTACTTTGTACTGTTCTAGCAATAGACATCAGGGTTTTTAAAGTAAACCCTCTGTACTTGCCCTCCCGTTTCACAGTCTGAATTCAACTACATGATTACATCATCATCTGAACAACATAAAACCACAAAAACTCTATTCTGCATGTTTCTTCAGATAAACATGTGTGAAATAACATTCCCTTTTTGTCCTGTTTCCTACTTTTTAACTAGAATAAATGTTGGTTGGATGCAGGCAGAGCTTTATGCTGGAATATAGGGAGAATTGAAGCTTGCCAAAATACCTGATATGCAAGTAATTTCTGTTAAAATTTTAAGTTTCTAGATTATCTTTGTACTAAAAGCTATTCTTTAGAGTCTGCTATTCATGCAGTAAAGTGTATAGAAACCTTGGAGCACAGTGTTGTTGAGAAGTGCATTATTATCCTTTTAGTTCATTTCTAAGTGCTATCTTGATCAAACTGGAACTTAACACAGTCTCTTGCTCAGTAATCAGAATAAATCTGCTACAGATTTTTCCAGTAACTATGAACAGGGGAAGATAGAACCAGACAGCATGGTAAGGAAGAGCAGGTAAGCTTTAGGCATCAAAACAACTATTAAAAAACTTAGCAACATTTCATTGGATTAGGGATTGAATAGTTTTCCTGACATAGCAGCCCTTATTCCCAATTCCCTTCTGTCCTGGTATTTTTGTGTTGGCTTTTTTAACCCCCTAGAAACTAATACCTGCTTCAAATATCTTGTTTTGCAGCACTATGGGGTGACAGCGAGCAAGAGACAGTGTTCTGAATCAGATGATATTTGTTCAATCTGCCAAGCTGAATTTCAGAAGCCTATTCTGCTTATCTGTCAGGTAATACACATAATCACAACTATTTTTTGCAAACAATATTTTAAGCAATGTAAACAGAACAATGTAAAGTTAGATTAGTGAACTTGTCTCTTCTGATTATTTTTAGAAATCAGGCTATGCAAATAATATACCATCTTACAAATGGAAGAGCTTAGAAGCTCTAAGTTCTCATTCTTTTCATTACAGCACACATTTTGTGAAGAATGCATCTCTTTGTGGTTTAATAGAGAAAAAACGTGTCCACTCTGCAGAACTGTTATTTCAGACCATGTTAACAAGTGGAAGGATGGAGCTACATCTATGCATCTACAGATTTTCTGAAGCATGTCAAATAACTTGTTTTACAGTTTGTTCAAGTTCTTTCAGTTCACTGCAAATTAAATTGTAGGTAGCACAAGGAATGAGTTTCCAAATTCTAGATACCATGCTTCTGTGAAATGTTCCAGTACTTAAAACAGTGAGGGAAATGATAACTTGACCTTCTTAAGTATAGGAAAGTAAGTTTTGAAAAGCCAGCATTGCTTCTCTTGTCAAGCCCTTGAAAAATGCTGCATTACTTCTTGCAGTAGGTTCTGAATTCAACAATTTATTTAATAGTTTAAATAGAGTTCCAGACTGTACTAAATTGTATTTATCCTTCTAACATGACTCAACCCAAAAGGTCAACTTACTGTTCTATTAAGATTTTGAGCAAATTTTATACTCTGGACTACAGTGAGAATTAGAGCTACTTATCAGACTTGGCATTAAAGATCCTTTAATGCTTGCCCACTGGATGATGGAACTGAGCTCCTTGCTCATGCACCTGTAACAGCAACTGCTTCTCACTGTACCTGGAGATAAGCCACAAGAATAAGATGTTTCCCCTTTAGGTTTTTGTAGACTTCTAATGGTTTTGGCTTAATACAGAAACCAACCACTGACGGTTAGTTTTTTACTTGGCATTTTATAAAGTTGGTATTTTTAAAACAAATCTTTAATACTATATTTTTGTCATAACATGAAGCAGATTTTCTTACAGGAGAGAATCTATTTTATACTATATTTGCAATTTGTAAGTATGCATAAAAGTCAGAGAGAATAAATGCATTTAAATCTATTTGTTTGGTGCATGTTGAATAAAGAAACAAGATTTGTTACTGTTTCAGTATTAAATTACATGTAAGCACATAGCAGCTCACTGCTAGGGATACTTTTTCTGTTAAACTAATGTCTCTGAAAAGAAGAATCCTCCAAATGCTACAACTTAAGCCATGACTAGTATCTATGCTAATTGTAGAGCTAACTTATTTCTAATCTGACTTTTTTCCTGCTTGTCTTTTTCACCTTGCTATTCAGATAACACTAGAGAAAAAAAACCACCACTGAAATTATTCTGTTATAGCAAAGTTAAATTGAGTTGCCATTATTGAGAGCTTGTATTAACTGAATACTTTTAGGAGACTTCTGAATTAGGGAAAAACAGAAGTAAGAAGTTAAAACCTTTACTTGATGAAGGACGTAGCAACTCAAAGGGCCAGGCAGAGGACTGAGTACTGTGAAGCTGCAGGTGGTACTGCCAGTTTTACAGGGCTGACAGCATGACTGGAGGGTGCCCCTAAAGGTACAGCTAGAAGTGTAATAGCAGTAGAATTCAGTAATCCAAACAAAAATCTGATGAGATGGAAGATTCAAGCTAAGGAGTGGCATTTGATGTGCAACCCAGGCTTTGCTATCGCATGCTGTGTATTTGCTACCTGTATTTTGTTTGCACTCTACTGCAGTTCAGAGTAAATGTGCCCTATGACTGCTCCACCATGGTATCCAAATGACTGGGGAAAAAGACTCCAGCTTAAAGAAAACAGGCAAAAGCTTCTAAGTGTGTAATTGGAAACTTATGAGAGTAGAAGGGACTGGTTCTCATAGAAGCCTTTCCCAGCAGGCAAGGCATTTGGTTTGGAGAATGTGCAGCTGAATGGTGTTAGAGCAGTCCTGAGGGTGACAGGAAGAACTGGAGCTTGGCCACAGCCAGAGCTGTGCTGTGATGGGCTTGTGCCTGTACCTCCAGTATTGTCAGAACAAACTGCTCTTTGTTTCCTCAGAGAGATCTAACTATGCCTTAGCCTGTATTTGAAGTTCATACAAGATGAGAACTGTTCGTTATTTAAATTTCATCAGTGCTGATACTCAGACGCTGCTCAGAACTTCTCTTGAGAGATGGACAGGATCTGAATCAGTCCAGGAACAGAAAAGAGTAGGAGGAACTTAAGGTTGGATTGTGAATCCCTGCTGGGCCCGCAGACACTTTGGCAGCACACTTGGTTACACAATCATATTTAGACTTTCCCAAACTTAATCATGAACATAGAGTTTAGCTAAAGAGTGTCTTCATTTTATTTTCTTTTTCTTCACACGGGTATTGTGTGAGCAGTATGTAAACAATTTGAGTGCCATGCTTAATTTAGTCAACAAATACCACCTTTAAAAAAAGCTTTGTGTGAGTAAAATGCATGGCTAAGCCAAATACATAGTTTATAAAGGCAGATGTAATTACCCCTTCTCAAATACTGAGCAAAATAAAAATTTTAACTTGCCCTGGATTAGCTTTTCCTGAAATGCCAACAACAACAGTTTAATCACCTCTTAACTCAAAGATCCTCTCTGAGAAAATATAAACTAAAATTCATTAGGCTTGGACATGATGTTAGAGCAAAGAAACACACTTCCTAATACTTGCAGATTCATTGAATTCACTGCCTACCAGTAATGGGCAGCCACTCAGCAGAATTCCAGGACTCTCATGACAGACTTTCAAAACATTTTTTAGAAGGAAAGGTCTAAATTACCTAGTCCATTCCTGGAATATTAACTGGGAAGGTACAGATTCTGAGATGCACCAGTTGATTAGCACAAACAGTTGTTCATACTGTTTAAAAAGTATTAACAATTTAGAATTATAACAATTGTTTTAACTTAAACCAACAACTTAGTGTTAAAACAGCTTAATAGAATCAGTTGTTGCTGATCCTTTGGTCTTTGTCCACCACAGAGTAGTAACAACACTGTACTAGAACAAGGGTGGATGTTGGTCAGAGATAGGAGCAGGGAAGAATTTGTCTTTTCTCTTTCTCTGTTGATGTTTTTTTTTTCGCCCCTTTAAGATCCAATGAAAATTATCCAAACCCAGCAATATTATCCAACACATTTTATTAAAAACCAAAGAACTAAAAAGAGATTTTGATCAATCAGTTTAGAGTAGCACTTCATAAATGAAGCAACATTCTCATCTTAGTTACAGAGAGTAAAGGCAAGTGAGTAACTTACATGCAGGAATGACATCCTCTGCTGTGCCTGTCAGCCTCATGCCAGGAGGATGCAGCTCTCCCTTCACGTGGGCCAGGGTAGCTGCCCAGCTCTCCACACCCAGACATCAGCACATGTCTGACTCTGCAGGACACAGAACGAAGAGGATGACAGATGGCAATCAATAGCCACTCCTTCAAGAGCCCAAGAGCCTAGGTGAAGGTCCCAGGCCTTGTTAAGACAGACTGATTAGAAACAGAGTCTGCCAGGGCCTTTCAGTTCCATGTGGAATTCCTCCTCCCTCCCTTTCCCTTCAAAGCTGTCATGAAGGACAACGATTTACATGCACAGTTATACTTAGGGCCTACCTACTGCCTACAAACAAAAAAAAAATAGGTCACTTGGATTAGCATATGTTTAAATTTGCATTTAATTGCTATTCACATCCATCTTATTTAGCAGTAGAGTATATTTAGTTCCAGTAAACTGTGAAAGATGAAAAACAGAACAAGGATTACCTTTATTTCTACTAAGGCAGCTCAAGTTTGATTCTTGAAGACAGCTACAAAGCCAAGCTAATCTAGAAGAGAATAATCTGTAGAAGTTCATATATAGGAACTGCATACAATATATCAAGGATCTGCAGGAAGAAGTAATTCAAGTAATGTGCCTTGTTCTTAATGAACATCTCCTCCTCTTTCTCCCCTTAGGGTAAAGGATTTCCCTCTAAACTGGGAAAATGAAACAGAGACAGAATTTAAAAAAAAGCAAAACAACTGAACCAAAGCATCTGTCCTCAGAACAACAATACTGACTCAATGCTTGATGCACTTTTTGATTAACAGTGAGAGCAAGTTGGGAGTTAATAGTAAAAACAGAAAGGACCCAAAGTAAACATCCACTGTGCAGTTAGAGTGGACTCAAATATTAAATGTTCTCCAGCAGTTCACCTTTTAGATAGCAAGACAAAAAAAAAAAAAAAAAAGGGATATTCAAAGAACAATTGACTCATTTATTTTTATCTTTTATTATGAGCTAATACCAGGATGACATTCAAATGTCAGATGGCACAGTTAAGACAGTCTTGGTAGGAATTATTCCAGCATTCCCAAAATTACAATTTAGTACACGAATGGCATCAAATGTATGCATCACTCCCACAGAGAAAAATGATGAAATTCTGAATATCTTATACCAGAATAGTTTCTGCGTCAAATGGGAAAAGAAAAACTGCTGGTAACACAGCTGACCTATAAACCTTTTGTGATAATGACCTGCAGAACAAAATATTTCCCTATTTAACATCTGGTAAAAAAAAATATGACTTTTGTTCAAGTTTAAGATTTAATACTTTTATATGGTTAGCCACAACAGGTATTAACCTCAGTTTTACTATATTTTTGTAATGCTACAAAAATCCTATAAAATCAAATTATAGTGAATTTTTCAGTGATTATAATTAAAAAAGCGCAGCTTGTACAAAATAAAAAAAATAAGATTCTATACTCTAATGAAAAATTTAAGACATTTTTAAATGAACAAAAGAAAGCACTTGTTAAGCTCTCCAATATTCAATGCATTCTGCACTTATCAGAAATAGCCAGACAGGAGCTAGAACTCCACTCCCCTTAGTTCACAACTAGTAATTTTGACACTATTATATATATATAGAGGATCTATGTCTGATATTTTTACAAATAAATACAGGATAAACCATATTGCATAGTGTGTGCTTGCTGTCTGAGTCACATTCCAAAAGTTTCACAGTTACGGTAGGGAATTAAACTTATAATCTATGGGATGAAACATTGACAGTACATGAAATTTGCTTTTAAAAACCAAGGAATTGTATCTGTTATTAATCAGTGAACTCAGACAAACAACTCTTGCCATTCTTGCCAGCCATATTAAACCAATTCTACTGGACAATTATATCCAGCCAACCGAAAAGCAACTGTTAGTTGTAACTAGGGCCAAGAGAGATCTGCCTCAAAAAACCAAACCAAAACAAAATACCAAATTTTTTTTTTTTTAACCAAGTTCCTTTATACTCAGTAAATGTTAGGAAACCAATGTTAACAAGTGGCACAGAGAGGCACTGCTTGAAGTGTTGTGTATTTGCCAATACGCCCGGTACAAACACGTGAGCACTTTGATTTCAGATTCACAACGTGCCACCCGTGGCCATATTACCCAATGGAAAATAGGAATTTAGCTTCCAGGACAGCTTCTCTCACTGTAAGGGAACTTGATTTTCCTTAAAAACCAAAAATTTTTCCAACAAAAGGCTTATCAAGAAAAAAAAAAACAACACAACTAATTTTTTCTTAATTAGAACCATGTTTTTTGTTGCTTCTTTGTTAATATCAACAAGATATCGCTGAATCCTTCCAACTTGCAAATTTGAGAGAACAGCACTCTGATTGGATTCAACATGCGTAGAGAGTTTTATGGCTTGGATCCTATGGCTCAAAAAGATTCAGTATACACAGAGTAAGCAGAATCTATAAAAAAATCCCTACTGTTGTGAAACACCAGAAGTAGACTTTGCACAGTTTGACTAAAGATAATAATGCAACGTGTGGCAGGCAAAAAGTGACAGGACTTGTATGCAGTTGCATGATCATATTCACACACACGCACACACCATACACACTCTAACTAGTGTAAAGCTCTGCAGATATTAACCCTTTCACCAGCTATGTTCATGGAAATGCTTTCTTTAAGGCAGGAAGTATTTAAGTAAGGTAAAGTTACCTTTATTTTATTCTTTGTACCTGTTAAGTCATTTGTACAGATTGTGACAATTTCAAAGCATAAATAGTGTCCTTAGAACATGTTTCCTAAATGAAGTTGCTAAAGTTCTGACCCACTGTGGAAGACATTCACTGAAAGGCCATTTAACACTTTTCTCATACAATCAGCAAATTTATTGCCCCAGCATAGAAAAAAATGTGGATAAATTTAGAAATGTATAATGGCAGGGAACTCCCATAAGCAGAATTTTATTGAAAAAAAAAAAAAAATCCTCAAATTCTTACCCACTGGTTACAAAAAGGTTTATTTCCTTATTCTGTGTAGAGTTTGTGTAAGTTTCCTGTGGTACATCCTATGTTTCCACTGACCTGTATTCCGATGCACTCTCTCCTGATCTTTCCTGTGGGTAAGAATCTGAAGGCATTCAGCTGTCTCCATCTAGGGACTAGGGTATACAAAAGTGATGTTTCCCAGTGAAATGTCTGCTGAGGACAAGGGTGAAATAAGCAGGACATGTACATGAGCCCACGGCTTCCAGTTAAGCCTAGAACATAGCAGCATTGCCATCTGATTAGATCCGTTTGTCTTTGCAGGAACAGGTATTTCAGCTGGGTAAGCAAGTGAAACAGTTCTCTCCCACCCCACATTGCCAAGCTGGTAATTTGAGCCATTATTGATTTGTTGTTTCACGAGGAGAAGAATCAGAACTTGAGCCTTTACTTTCTTCACAGCAACCAATTATTTTGCATTTTTAATTTTGGGATACTTGCCATAATGAGCTTGAATCAAAAAATCTATTTGAAAAATATATATTTTTATACATATAAAAAACTCATTATGTTTTGAATGTGAAATACCAATTAATTTTATCTTTCATCTTTGATTCCACCCCATCGTAGGAAACAGCTTAACCAAGCTTGCATGCTGGTTTCTCCTCAGACACAAGCGTGTAGGCATTCCACACTCTGCCTAGTGAAAGGGCTAAACCCTCCTCGACACATTCACGGCTAGACCGGTGATTCTGAAGCAACATCCTGACCCTTAATACTGTCAGTTTCAAGCTATCGAGCTGAAAAATCCTTGATAAGGTGAGAAGATGTCACTGTGAATCAGTTAGATGATGTGCCTAGAGTTCTGCAATACCATTTTCTAAAGTTTTTTTATGCACCATTGATTGACAGGAAAAAAAAAAAAAAAAATCCATTTTCCTTTGCTTTCCAAGTCACTCTGTGCAATGACTGACTCTGATACTGTCACTTTTAAAAAGTAAACCGTACAAGCCCTCCAGTTTCAGCTTCAAGGGGGGCTTAGGTCCGTTCTTTGTTTTCCACCTTCAAAGGCTTAGAAAAATTGTGTCGTCATAGATTCATGCGCAAGTGCTCCGGTCGTTTGGAAATCATGGGGAAAGCTTGTTTCTTATATGGCCCAGAGTTCGGTTGCCGGATGGGAAGTGGTGCCGAGGCCTCTCCACAGACTGTCACATCCATTTGTTCTATTCCACTTGTCTCCATTGGGTATTCCACAGGTGTCTGAGTATTTGATGCGCTGGCAGAAGCACCTCTTCCCCAGAATTCCCCAGGGGAAAACTTTACAGGGCTTTAAAACAAGAAATATAAAAATCAGAGATGAAGATATACACAGAACCGCGTCCTTTCCTCTGCAGGAAGCTGAACTCAAATGCCTATTGAGAAGCATTTGTAATTCTTCCACTTCCAGAAGCACGAGAAAGTTTCCACGTCTCACTTGTACCACAGTCTCTTGTAAAGTAAAATAGTCTCATCTGAGTAGTGAGGACACGTTTCTAGATGACTGCAGAAGGAATTTTCTGTACTAACATGATTCTTTAGCGGCACGTAAGTACTTAGGATGTTCTGAAACAGTTCTAGAGGAATGGTGTACGAAAGTCACCAGGCTGTGAGGCTCTACGAGCATTTAATAGCAAGGAAATTAGTACTTCTTGTGCTGCCAGACATCATAGCTTTGTCTCTAATAATGTGGTTTGTAAAACAGGATTGATGCTGCACTTCTAATGGAAGTGATGGGCTTCCTGAGAAGAAAGGCTGCGGGTTTTATTTCTAGTGCAGATCTATTTCAACTACTTACCAAAAAGAGTATTACAAAAAAAAAAAAAAAAAAAATTAAAAAAGATACCTGACTGGTGTCCTAGGGCTACCTATGAATCTGCGAGGTGATCGAATTTTTGGTTCAAAAGAAAATTTCTCTTTTACGCTTTCAAGTACAGATGGAGCCACGTAGGTGAAACCCTGCAAAACAGGAATGGACACGCTGTCACCTGACATTTGTCATCACTTGTGCAGCTACCAGAGGCATGAAACAGTAAATGAAAATTGTACAGAAAGCAAACGTAGACATAGGAACTTCTACTCACTTCCTGAAGCACAGAGCAGGACTTCAGGGTGTTCCTCACCCGGGTGCCTGCACACCCCAGATATTTCTACTCAGATCAGATTCCCGCAGGCGTGCTCAATTTAATGACTTTTGATCTACAGACCAGACATCGTTCCCTCTGCACAACTGTGACAGCAATCACATGTCCAGGGTTCATAATGCAACTATGAATTGGAATGCTGACATTTCAGGAAGTAAGCAACGTTTGTTGGCTCTTTTATTTATATAAAAGAAAACGTCTGCAATAATCAAGCTAAACATTTGCCAAGCCCTTAAACATTTCAAACCTGTTGCAGAACGTGTTTAAAATGATGATAGTTTGCTTCAAGTGTGGTAGGATGAACAGAATTTCATTTCCCTGCAGTGCCCTGCTGTTCCCAGTAACACAACGTACCTCTCTGCAGTCACATCACGCTCGTCCCTGGCCCACTTACCAGAAAGACCTGGTTGGCACTTTCACTGAGGGTAGAGTCATCTGGGCTATCAACAGGTGTCTGACGTGTAAACTTTGAATCAAACTGGCTCACATCCTCTTCAGATTGCTTTGCAAAAACAAAATGATTAAGGGTTTATATTACAGATATCAACCAAATGGCTTAGCGGTGATCAGTGCAGCCTCTGGGTGGAGTTCATTCCATAGGTTTTTGGCAGAGCTCTGCTGGAGTAAAACCCTGGAGTGGTGTCGGAATCCTGTCGCTGCCAGTGGGAGGTCACTATGGGCACTGACACTGAGAAATAAAGGCAAGGGGGAGGGGCAAAAATTATGGATCAAAAAGGAACACAAATTAAAAAGATGCCTTTAAAAAAAAAAATCTCAAATTACAAACAAAAACTTTTAGAAACACAATGCCAGATTCTTGCAAGTTTAGCCCTCATCACAAACAGTATAGAAGAGTTGCAACTAATAGTTGTAACTATTAGTTACCCTTTCCAGATAATTTCATCCCAAGAAATGTTTATACTGTGAGGGATAGATGACAACTCTGCAATAAATGACTACGAAGAATTAATTCAGTCATTCAGCAACTCCAAAATCCCTTCCTGCATTCCTAAGTGAACCAGAAAGGCTCCATTTGTGCAGGCCTCTGTGCAGCTGCAGGACATTTTCAAAAACCATCTGGTTTACACAAGTAACTTCTGTAAAATTTGCTAAGAACAGAAAAACTGAAAAAAAACTATGTTCAGATCATTAACTTGGAAGTATCAGTCTTTTGTCATGAATTTCATTCACAACAGTGAGGGAAAACATGTCTGGATCCCCATGCTGTGGTATGCTCAAAGTTAGTGATGCCTAAGTTAGTTTGAAGTGAGATTTTTAGCAGCTGGGAACCACCAGGGTGGTAATAACCCATTGTGGCTGTAGCTAATGCTACCCTGAGGGGAAAAAAAAAAAAAAGAGAGATAACCCACATCATCAGAATATAAGATAGGATAATAGAGGCTTATTCATCACATCACTGCTTTGAGGTAAACTTTAATTACTGCCTATAATGCACAAGATGCACTGGAAATATTAATAAGCAAACATGCAAAATGCTTCATTAGGTGATTTTATTTACTTTTGCTTTGCAACTATTTACCATATTAGTTGTAACCAAGTACTAACTTACTGTACAACGTTAACAGAAGCAGAGATTCAGAGACAACTGCACTTGCAAATCTGCTTAACCCACAGATTAGAAGCAGGAGGAATTAAAACTGAAGTGGAACCTTCTTCCTCCAGGAGACTGAACAGAAGGATAGATTAGCTCTTAGCTGATTTTTGCCACTTTCTCACATAAAAAAGCAAGATCCTACTCTAGTGACAGATGAGTACCATGACCACAGAGTAGTGAGACAGAACAGAACACTTAGTCAGTATGGAGACTTAAAATAAAGAAGGGTTCATTGTGGTGGTTTTTTTTTATGTTAATACAGAATCTGTTGTTTGGTAGATCTGCAATCTTTAATTTGCTAAGAGTGAATCTGAGAAGCAGAACCCTGAGATGATGCATTTAACTATTTAAAGTACCAGAAATGACTGGCACTCAAGTTTGTAAGTTTTGTTTTGCTTCTAAACTAAGTTTTGTTTCTTAAACTTAGAAACATTCACTCTTACAAAAAACTAACTTTTTGATTCCTTACTTTGTGAGACCTTTCCTAGAGGCACACAAGGAATATCTCACAGCATTCTGAGTACATACCAATAAGGGTTTAAAAGGAGGTTCCACCTTTCGTGCCAACAGCTCATCCCAGTTAATGTGTCTGAAGAACGGGTGAGCCTACAAGAGTTAGCAATAGCACAGAGTCATAATCCACCTTCTGGGTATAAATCACAGAAATTTAATAAATAAGCATGTTTTTTTCAGACCCTCTCTGTGGTCTCTTTCTTTCCAAAATCACACATGGGTCTAATGTAAGAGATTCTGCAGCAGTACATTAGAGTAGCTGGAAGAGCTGAAAATTGATTCCATACCCCCGAGTCAGACAACAGATGTCCCTATCATGCTTCCCCTGAAAGTATTAGAAAAAAGCCAGTTTACATGCAAAATACCTCTACATTTTTAAAATTTAAAAGTTGAAAATCTAAAAATAATGACAGAACACTGTATTAATAACAAACTATCAGAACTGTGACGTAAGGAGGACTCTCTAGTATGTCATTAATGTTGCCACAAAAAAAGTCAAGCTGGAAGCAACAGAACTAACTAGGCCTCCGACTTCACTTGAAATGATTCAACACTGAAGGCAAACTAAAAACACTCTTT